TATCATGCAGCATGTCCTGATTTCCACTCGCAGCAAAACCTTCCTATGCTTTAAGGAAGCCTGCAGCTATCATCCTTGCTCTTGCTTGGCTGAAGCCAGTGAGGTTTGCTCCTGTCTTTGACAGGACAAGAAGCAGACCCTTTAGTATAACAGGAATTTCCCTCAGATCCACATGATGAATACTTTGCTCTGAGCAAGACCAACCTGTAGTATACTGAAGCCAAATGACCTTTTCAAATACTTTGTGTGTTCCTTGTAATGTCTTAGGTGCTCAATTTTTAACTTACCTGTAACAGCCCCAAATGTCCAGAGGAGCTGATTGCCTTAGTTGCATACATTTACTGCTGCTGAAATTTTGGGGCTCCACTGCTATTCATTTGCAGATTTCTAGAATTTACTGCATGTTCTATCATCCTGGGTATACTGTACAAGTTAGAGTAGGTTTGGGGTCCATCCCTCTGGTAACCAACTAAGAATCCTCTGTCCCTTCTTTTCCCCATGGAAATATCAAGGATAATCTGCCTTCTAGTAGCTTGTTTACTTGATGGGGTCTCAGATTTTGGGTATGAGTTTCATATGCCTTCTGCCTGTTTAGTTAGCTGAAAGAAAAAGGCAACCAAAACTAAGGCAAACATATCCTCGATTTCTTACCTAAAATGTCTCTCTTCTGTCCTTTCTGACCCTTTCCACTGCCTCCCATAGTCCAGGATAAAATCCAGTCTTCAAAATGCCTTTGTTTTGTAAACATCACGGTTATAGCTGAGAATAGCTCCAGGGTTTGTACAGTTCTCCCACATTACTACAGCACTCCTCCAAACTCAACTCCAGTGTGACTCACAGGCTGGCCTGAGTTTTGCTTAGGAACTAAATCCCTTTAGCTTCCTTGAATGCTTCTGGGAGAAGATGTGACAGTGATGCTGCCTGGTAGGACAGGATTTGAGAAGGTAGCACCAAAAAATGCATGGTATTAGGTAGGAGCAAAAAGATCCATGACTGTGGATTCAATGGCTAAAGTGCCTGTTAAAGAGACCCTGGGTGACTTTGCCCTTTCTTCCATCTCTTTGTGTTCTTATAGGTTATGTGTTTGAGCAAAGCATTCAGCTTTTCATGTACTTTTCCAGGGCTGTTACTCTACTTATCTGGACTGTGTCCTCATCTTAATTTGTCCCTTGATGTACAGTTGAATTAACACAGCTCAACACTGAGTAGTCACTCTAGTCATAACTTTGAAGTGGATTCATTGAGGTAGTATACATTATATGGAAAAGTCTAATCAAAAAAAGGAAGGAACAGGCTAGGTTCCTGGAAATTAAGCTTTCAGTATAATTGTTATTCTGTATCATACCTATGAGGTGAACGATGGCTGCCAATGTTTTATGCTTATACACAGTGGCTTGCTCTTGCTGTCTTGAAGAAGACAGTAATGTAAACATACATACATATGTGTTTCCTTGTGCCTGTGTTTTACTCCTGAGCTGTGTGCTGTGATCATCTAGTTCAGATAAGTCTTTAGAGTGTATTTTGAGGCTGGCAGGCACTGTGGCTAACTGGGTAAGTTATGGCCATCCTGAGGTCTGTATGTTATCAGTGGGTAGGCAGAAGCGGACAGGTTACTTCCCTTCCTGTCCCCCTGCCAAAACACAAGCTGAGACAGATTGCCTTCCCCTTGGGTCTGAGGGCTGGAAGGTGAGATCAGGCTGCCAGATTTCTTTCTGTTGGAAGGTGAAAGTGTGTTGGTAAGTTAGATCCCTTCCTGCTGCTGGAAGGAGAGCTTGACCTGGAACACCAGCACCGTGAACCTGCTGGGTAAGTTTGCAGCCAGCCAGGAGGCAGACAGGCAGTGGACAATGTGATGGTTTACAAGCCAGGCCACAAGCAGTGTAATACAAAAGGCCCCAGATACAGTATTTTCACACTGGTGATTGTTTGTTTAGGGATTTATTTTTTTTTTATATAAATAAAACACAGTGTAATTAAAACCAAAATAAAGCAAACCAAATCAGTTCTATAACAGAGCCCATGGGCTCTGTAGTTAATGCCCTTAGAGTAACCCAGTAATAAATGAAAAAGTCTCTTACTGCCCAAAGACAACCAGTTAACTTCCTTTTATGAAACTATAGGTCTTTTTATTAGGCTACAAAACTGTTTCAAACAAATGGAAACCAAATGTGTAAAAAATGTGTTTTTCTTTAAACCAAACCAGCGTAAGCCACAGGGCTCTTCACGTGAAGCTCTGCCTCAGTCTCTCCTACAGGCTTGTGCTTTTGAGAGTGAATACAGGGCTCATCTATTGAGCAGAGCTCTGCAGCTGCTGCTAGATAGAGGATCTATACAGTAACTGTAACAGAGATATTAAGCAGCTATTCAGGATGGAACTATTCAGAGTAGCGAACCCCGAGACATGCAAAGCATTATGCAATCATATTGGCACATGTTGTGTTCTCCAGCCCAAAAGAGTTGCTATTGTGGAGACAGGCTATTTTAATCTTCACATGCAAAAGCTTTTGACGTGTGCTGCACCTATGCCCTGCCTTGTAATACTGTTCATTCTAGTGCTAAACAGACGTGATGCCAAACCAGCCCCGCTATAAATCAGTGCATCTCCTATTGAGATCAATAAGAACTGCACTTGCTTACACCAGGGCTGAATTTTTGCCTGTAAATTACAAACAGTTCCACTGTGGATGGAAAATATATTAACCTTCTGTGAACATAAAATTCAGTGTGTCATCTGTAGGGGTCTGCTTTTCAGTGATTACTTCCTAACTGGAGAACAACTGCATTTTGAGTGGGAAATGTTTTAGCAACAGATCTTTGTGTACTGCCTGAACAAGCTCATATCTTGGCCTTGGTGAAAACAATTCATGTGTAATGATCACGGTCTGGGCACTTGGGTCCTGAATTCTGATAAACTCCTTGTAAAGTCTAAAGGCCAGGCTGTTTTGGTCAAGAGAGCAGTAAATGAGAATGCAGTAAGACATGTTATTACATAGAGCAAACCTTAATAAGCAAAAAAGTAAGTGGGGCTCTGGGGCCCACAACACAAGAGGGACGTGGTGCTATTGGAGTGAGTCCAGAGGAGGCCACAGTGATGCTGCTAGGGCTGGAGCAGTTCTGCTCTGGAGCCAGGCTGAGAGAACTGGGCTGGTTCAGTCTGGAGAAGAGAAGGCTCCGAGGAGAACTTATAGCAGTCTTCCAATACCCAAAGGGGCCAACGAAAAATCTGGAATGGGACTTTTTACAAGGGCCTGTAGGGACAGGCCAAGGGGAATGGCTTTAACCTGACTGAGGAGAGATTGAGATGAGCTCTTAGGCAGAAGTTCTTCCCTGTGAGGGTGCTGAGATGCTGGCACAGGGTGCCCAGAGAAGCTGTGGCTGCCCCATCCCTGGCAGTGTTCAAGGCCAGGCTGGATGGGGCTTGGAGCAGCCTGCTTTAGTGGAAGGTGTCCCTGCCTGTGGCGAGGACTGGAACTGGATGAGCTTTAAGGTCCCTTCCAACCCAAACCATTCTGTGGTTTTATGAAAATACATGGCTTGTTTTATTTAGTGTATTGGTGAGTCTTGACTGGTGAGTGACAGAGTCTTCCCATTAAGTACTACCTCAACTGATTCGTATTTCAGCCAAACGTTAAATCCCTACCCTTGTATTTGCCTTACCATCAGATAATACCTGATGTCATGACCCACTAAGACCCATAGGTTGTTGTATGCCCCTGTGAAATGAAAGAGAATCGGGCTCCTAAATGTTCTTGATGCCTTTGTGATGCACTGGATTTAGGAACTGGCATGTGTTAAGTTACCAGCTTTTACATTTCTATCTATGCCACTGCTGCCTGTGAAATTTTTATTCCCTCTGGGCTCCATAGGGAGAGGCACTTGGAGAGTGAATAGCCAAATGGGTCTAGGACATGGCAATTCCAGAGGAAAACATCTCATTCATTACAGATGTTGGATAAGAGTCACACAGCATGTGAAAAGTCCACAGAAACTTTTGGGGGTTTTTTGAGTCCCCTTATCCTATACTTACACTCACCTTATATGTATGTGTAAATAAGCTTTATGGAGTCCATGGCAAAAGTAAGTTAACAAACAGAAGATAATGTACTCTGTCTTAAAAATGAAAGGAATTAGAGAACATGATACTGCAAAACACCCTGTGATCTTGCAGTAAAATTGTGTAGAACAACAAATATCTGTCAGAGGTTGCACACAGATCCTTTATTTGAAATGTTTTCTGAATGGTAAGTGTTTAATTGCGGACTCTCTCAAGGCAGTTGCTTCTTAAAGGAGTAGAGATTATATATTCCCCCTAGTTTTCTACGGAATGATATATGACATTTGGTCAAATGCATTGTGCTCTCAGGATAAATTATAAAGCACTTAAATGTATTTCATCACACATTATACTTCATCTTCAGGCAAAAATGTGTTTTGTCAAAATATTGATTTGTATTATCAGGGCACGTTGTATAAAATCCGAGAGCAAATTTCATTTTAGGGAACTGTGCAATTTGTCTAACCATTCCAAGGAAAAGGACATCAAATACATATGAGCAATTGTGTTGGTGAAATGAATTTTAATCATGTTTATCATCCTTCCAGATACACTGTACAATGGCATTTGATAAATTTCACTCCCTAGACCCTAGTCTGATGGCTGATGAGATAGGAATGTTACAATGTCCCAGTGGCATCGAGCTGGATTCCTGCGCTTAATAGGGTGCTGATAATATAGACACTGGTAATTTATCTGTTACTTAAGAAAAAATTAAATCTGATTCCATGAAAGGAGGAAAACCAAATAAATGAATATAGGTGAGAATTAATGTTGACATAGCCTGCACTATGTAATTGGTGTCTAGAGGTTTTAAGGACTAAATGGAAATACTTGAGGGATTGTCTTTTTCTCTCAATCTTGTGGTTAAAACTTGAGAGTCATGAAACATAGAGTCTCTCTCTGTTTTGTTTTTTTTTTTCCTTTTTATTTAACTTGCCTACAGATGTTCTACATGACCTTGAGAGAGCTGGATGGGGCTGATTCTGCACTGGAAGTCAATGGACCGTATTCAACAAAGACATGAGGACTGAAACTGCATCTTTCCCGTGCCTCCTGTCTCTTCACTTGTTACAAGAGGCTAACAGTGTGCTCCTTCCTCCTTGGGGTGCAGCAAAGATAAATCACATGGTATTTGCAATGATTCTGCTATCAGGAAGTGTGGGCTGCTTCTGCTTGAATCTGTGGAGACTCCTAAGAGCGAAGTCTTTCCTCTGCTTGTGGATTACCCAGCAGAGGGCAACATCACTCTCGCGCATGAAAACTGCATTCCCTGCTTGAGCCAAAACCTGCCAAACACAAGAGGAATCTTTTCCTTAGCCTTTATAGCTCTTTATAAATGCAGATTTTTACTGTTTTTCAGTATTAGCCTTGCAATGAAACGGCAGTGTGTGAGCACTCCCATGGCACTGTTAGCAGCTAGCCTTAGGAAAAAAGCTTCAAAACCTTCCAGTGCTGGCCAGAAACACAACAGTCATTTTTATTTTGTTAGTGGTTGATACAGTGCTAATATCCATAACAGCAGTGACTGTGTGGTGCTTTGAATGCTGTATGGCTTTGGTTAACTTTTATCATTCTTATCTATTTATTTCATAGTTGACCTAAGGGTGTTTGAGGTGCATGTCCCAGGACCTGGAAAAGAAAGAGATCAGGTGGATCCTCACCTCATGGAAGTCAATGGCAGCAATTTTCTTTTGTTTTCATGGGATCAGAACTGCGCCTGATCCTTCCCTTGAAGCCCATAGCTGTCAAGGTCCTTCTGGACAGACCCATATTGTGGTGCTTAAGCTCTTGCCCTTGTCTTATGGATGGACCCTGGAACTGGCCGATGACTTTGCCTCATCTGAGGCTGTTGATGGTATTCATTGCTATGACCACCTGGCTCTGCCCCATGGTCAGGCCCTGCAGGACTGCATCCTGTCAGTGAAGGCATAGCTTGTGCTGGGTCATCTGTGGGTCATGGCACAGCCCTGTGCCTGCTGCTGCCTGACACTGCTCCTGCAGAGACTGAATTTATGCCCTGTGAGAAATCCCCAAGGAGAAATTCAGATCAAACCATTTAGAGCGATCGAAGTGAACAAGGGGGTTATAATAAATCTTTGCAGGATCACAGGTCTCTAATGCCAAAATGTGCAATCCTGGAAACAGAAACAGTTGTATGCAGCTTAACTGAGTGGTAATGCAGCTCTTACACCCACAGGAAGCTGGCCTGTTAGACATCCAGATCTACTAAAGAAAGGGCTAGTCCTCAGCCTTGTGCAGAGCAACTTAAAATGTTAGCACTTGAACTCAAAAAGAATAAGAATTGAAACCAGAAATATCCAGACAATCCCACTTCCCTTTATAGTGCTTGGAATTTAGGAAATCAAGTGGATTTTAAGCTAACTTCATGATTTGTTGCAGTTTATTTCCTGGTGCTTGAATGCCTGTGACTACCCAGACATGGGAGATGACAGGTAGTGATAGTTTTTGTTCACTGTGAAGCAAAAGGGGTAACTTCAGTGGGTTTTCTATTGAGCTCTATGTATCCAAACAACAAATGCATAGAAACACTGGTATTTAAATTTGAAATCCTGGTGGGGAAGCAGCCCTCCCCAGGGTACTTATCTGTAGATTAACAATTTCTTCACATTTTATATTCTCTTCCTTTTTTTTTCCCCCCATTTATTCTTTAGGAAGTACAGTCCTCAGAATGACTGGGAATTTCTTTGAGATGTTGTTAATACCAGATGCAAATACACGTGTAAAAACTCAGGGCTGAATCGCTGATATTTCTTTTGTGAGCCTCTGGGTCCAATGTCCAATAGGTGTCAGGAACAGACTCTGGAATTCATAGAATCATTGAATCAACCAGGTTGGAAAAGGCCCTTAGGGTCATCAAGTCCAACTATTCCCCTAGCACAGCTAAAGGCCACCACTAACCCATGTCACTGAGGGCCTCGTCTACATGGTGTGTGAACACTTCCAGGCACAGTGACTCCAACACTGCCCTGGGCAGCCTGTTTCAATGCCTGAGCACCCTTTGGGGAAGGAATTGTTCCTCATCTCCATCTAAACCTCCCCTACTGCAGCTTGAGGCCATTTCCTCTTGTCCTGTCACTTGTTCCTTGGGAGCAGAGACCAGTCTCCTCCTGGCTCTGTCTTCCTGTCAGGCAGTTGTAGAGAGGGATAAGGTCCCCCCTGAGCCTTCCCTTCTCCAGACTCTAAAGACCCGGAGTTCCCTCAGCCATTCCTCATCACACTTGTGCTCCAGGCCCTTCATCAGCTCCACTGCCCTCTCTGGATCCGCTCCAACAAGTGTGTTTCTGGGTGATCCCTGCAGCACCTTTGTTTTTTGAGTTGAAGTGGAAGAAGTGCCATTGTTTAGTACCTAGTTGCAGGGAGAAACCTGTCTAGCTCCAAATGGGAACTTCTTCTTTTAACAGGCACACTGAAATGGAGGGGATATGAAATGCCAAGACTTTGTCTGTTTGGGGTAAATAATGCTCCTTCCAGCTTTGATAGCTGTAAGGAGGCAACATGTTTCTGTGGAATGTGTACAACTCTGTAGTGAAAATGTGGAATTGTTCTCACACTGAGATTTGGAGTAAAGAAGTGTAACAAGGTTGAAATTCCCCACTGGCACAGTTCTGGGCATGCTGGGATCTACCAGTCCAGGACCAGGAGCAGAATTTGGCCTGTGAGGTAGGGGAGGTGCCCTGGGTGTACTGGCACAGTACAGTGTACTTCAGCATCAGGAGCATGCAGGAAGACCCACCATAGTTATTGAGTACAGATGAGTGGAACAGCCTGTGTTGGATCTTGGGGTAACGTGGCCATTCACTTGTGGAAGAAGCTGTGAGCACAGACTAGCTCGTGCGAGGACCATGCTGTATCCCCTTGATGTGCCTGTGTGAACAACAAGCAGGGCTTCTAAGAAGAGGTATTCTCTTTCTTCCCCTTAGCAGAAATTCTCCAAGGTTGTGCTAATACAGTTCTTTGGTTTTATTTAGCTGGGTGGCTTTGAAAAAGAGTCTTTTTAGCAAGGTGGTTTTATTTATTGCTACTCTTTGGGTTGTTCCTGTAGGTCCCCTTTGAGACAGGCAGATCTGTAGTGCTCTACAGCATAGGTGCTCAGTGGGCAAAAAGGAGAGTCACTCTCGAGAACAATCCTTATGTAACTCCTGTGACACATGGACCAAAGCCAGCAAAAACTTGGGGTTAGGGAAGGGAGCAGGGGACAAAGGTAACAAAATAACTGCAGTTTAGTAAGATGACAAAGTTGAGACACCACAATTAATGGATGAAATGGGAATGCTTCCTCAAAACACGTGCTGTAGTTCCTACTGCTCTATTTCTCTTGCCACCTTCCTCCCCAGTTCTTATAGCAGCTGAGACTTGGTCAGAGAAGACATCCTCAATGGAACACTGCCTATCATTGCTGTTTTGTCTCTTTACTGTGTCCTCTTATCCTGTTCTCATGTAGTAGTAACACACAAGATGCTGATTCTGGAATGACTTGACAGAGGCTGCCCTGTCTGTTTTACCAGTAAACTATCACTGATGAGCAAGGGACTAAAGTGATTGCATTGATCAAGTTGTACTAACACTTGCAGTTGATAGCATAAATCAGTAGGTTTTACTTGTCTGGTTATCAGATTTACATGTTTCATAGAATTATAGAATGGTTTGGGTTAGAAGAGACCTTAAAGATCATTTAGTTCCAACCCCCTGCTATGGACTTCCTATAATAGGGAAATAGGGTTTCCTATTATAAACTTTCATACGTAGATTGCCGAGCAGCACATGAAATAACTTATTTTAGTCCACTGTCTTGGACCTCATAGAGTGTAAGTCCGTCAAGAACAGACTGAAAGCCCTTGATTTAAAACAAATGCGCCTTCAGAGTAAGGTCTCTAACCCTCACAGAGTGGATTAATTCATGGAAATGTTTTTTTAATGAAGGTGCTATTTTACAGGAAGGGAAGTATATTTTTCCAGTAATTTAATTATCAAGATGTTTTTAGAGAAAATGAGCCCTTGCCGCTACTAATGAGTAAGGCAGCTGAGATTCCTCTATACCTATGACCTAAATTAATATCCAGCTTTTCAAAGGTTTATGGCAGTAACAGTGTGCAAAGACTTTCTGTAACTTGTAGAAGGATTGGAGTAAGTTGTTTGGGCCTGACAGACTGTGAAGAAGCTGTAAACATGTTGGTGGTGAACAAAACCCATAATTATTTGTAATAAGAGAAACTGTTCTGCTTCTGAAATTGTTGCTATCAAAACCCCTATATGGTATGGATGCCACATGCGACTAAGGCTATCAATCTTTCATATGGTTGATGCCTATAAAACATCTGTAAAAATAGAGAGACTTTCTGGTGATGATATCCTGAACACAATCCCGCACAGCACCAGCCATAAGATTGCAGGTAACTCACAGTCTTTAGCTCTTCCCCTTCCCCTTCGTCTTGCCTGCTTGCCTTTCTGTGTTTTACTGTGGAAGCCAGCATCATGCACATATTGGTAGTGAAATCATTTTATACTCTTTTTGTGTTTTCATGTTTTGATTAGTATGGCTTAAATCCATGATTCTGGGGTCTCTTGTTTTTTGTTACCATTGCTGTTCAGTTGAATGGGTCAGTCTGTCCAGAGGAAGTACAATACTCTTCCTGTTTCATAAAATCTTCAACCTTACAGCTCCTTTCCAGTTTGTAGTAACTTCATGTATTTCTGCCTTCTGTCGTCTTCTGCTTGCAGTTCCAAAATGGTTTCCAAGAAGATCAGATGAATATTGCTGCTCTTTATTGTCTGTCCAACTCTCCTAACATTGTCTATTGTCTGAAGCACATAGAAATTTCATCTAGAGGAATGTGCCAGAATGCATATTGTCAGAGACATTGTTCCAGTACTCAGAAATAGACTCTAATACGCCATTCAAGACTGCTATAGCATAAAGCCTGGGGCAGAGATAAAGAGATCCTCATCTAAGACACTTGGAGGAAAAGAAAGAAAGAAACAAACTTGGGGGGGGGGGGGGGGGGAAGAAGTGGCAGATCCTGAGGCAGCTTGAAAAATATTTAAGATGGAGACAGATTTTATCAGTGTGGTAAAATAAGTCAGTGCTGAAATGAATCTGTGAAGAAGCAAATAATTTATTGTAACACTCATTAGGCTTTTAATGAATACTGAGTAAAAATACTTGGGGTTTCTTTCAAATAGTCTAAAAAGATTCAAAGATGTGGATGCTGAAAAGTCCACAGAGCTAGGCAAAGTTTCCAACAGAGTGCCAGTTAGATTAATTATGAGGTTGTTAATGATGTTTTGCAACTAACATACTTCTGCAGTTCCTGTGATCAGATATGTAAATCATTTATAACACATGCAATTCACAGTTTATTGCTATGTTTGATTGTCACCTACTTCACATTAAAGCCATTTCAAGCAACTGGCAACACTGAAGTTTTCCCTGATAGGAGGAACAGTTTATGCAGGCGTTAAGATGTTTCTGCATCGAAGACTGGAGTTTCTCAAATACATACAGTGTTATTGGGGCAAATCCTTGGATCTTAAGAACCCTGGGTTTGGGGTGTGTTTGCAGCTGAAATTCTGTTCCGCATATATATGGTTTGAATGTTTCTTGTATGTTTTCAGGATATTTCCTATTTGCTGCACAAAACTTCTGTACTGTAAGCCCTGCTAAAAATGTGTCAGTGAAGATACCCAATTCAATCCATTTAACCAAAGGACTCCACATTCAGCAAAGTACAGGTCTTCTAATTCTGTTTCTTTCCATTTATTGTTCAAATAAGATTTTATTATTTTCTATTTATTAGTGAACAAATAAATGATAGCAATTTAGTTACTATTGCATTTATTTCTTGAATTTATTTCTCTCTAGGATTCCTGTCATAATGCCTGCTTAAGCGTGTCTTGCCATTTTATACCTGATGGGAAGGTAACGCTTAATGCAGAGTGAAACTGGCAAAGCTCCTCTGTAAAAGTTCTTTCCTTGACAGTGAGCATGCTGTGTGTTTCCAGACACTTCACACTTCATAGCCATTGAGAAATGCAGCTTTTTGGCAGTACAATGGGTAAAAGGTCCATAAATGTGGAACATGAGTGTGTCTGAATGCTGCTGGGCTCCTTACCTCGTTATATTACTTCACACTTGGGGTACTGCATATGGCCATGACCACATAGCAGGGCTGCAGGGAGCACAGAGCACGGAGCAGAGCAGATGCTGTCCCCTTTGGGTAGGGAGCTTTGCTGTGCTGTGAAGGAAGTGGAGAGTGGGGACCTTCCTTTTACTCAGCCCCTTTGTGGCTCATTTCCCCACCAGCACCCTATGTGCCCATGTAGTGGGGCCGAGTGGTGCTGAATCCACAGTACAGCTGAACTCTCCTCTCTGTAAGCTGAGAGACCCCTGTGCCTGACACAAAGGCACATCCTTTCATTTCCAGGTGATTTTTGCCTGGGAAAACAGGATGAAGCTGTGATAGGGATGATAAGGGGAGACCTTGTAACGGTCTTCCAATACCTAAAGGGGGCCTACAAGAAACCTGGAGAGGGACTTTTTACAAGGGCGTGTAGTGACAGGACAAGGGGGAATGGCTTTAAACTGACGGGAGACAAGGAAAGAGAATGGAGACCTGGCATGACGTAAGGGCTGAGCTTAACTCCTCAACCTGGTGGAGGCTGATGTACAGGCAGGCCGGTGGATGGATACAGATACGGTATGTGCCTTACCAGTGAAAAGGCTGTTTTATTCTCCAGGACTTTTCCTGAAGGATTTTCTTTGCCAGCAGCAGAGATCAGCTCAGAGTTACGCAAAGTTGAGGGGTAAATAATGCAGCAATGTTTGAGGCACAGCTGGAGCTGCAAAACATCTGTGTGCTTAACTTCAGATCTCTGAAGCACTGGAGCCCTGCTTCGGAAAAGAATTCTCTCTTTCAAAAATGCCCATGGAGAGGTAGTCATTGCTCATTTTTGCTACTGAAGCACCCCTGCATTTTGCGTTAGGAGGGCATTTACAAGGACTAAGAGGCAAGACATACAGGAGAAAATTGACACGCAAGGAAAGAATAACTATTGCGTTTTGCAGCTTGCAGAGGAAAAAGTGTTAGATAAATGCTTATGACAAACAGACCCTGTTTGATCTCCCTAAGAAGATTTGACAAGTCAGACACACAGGAGCCATAAATTACCTGTAATGGCAAAAATTACATCAGTTATAACCTTTTAAGCAGTTGTGCCTCATACAGCATCAATTCAGAGATAGTCATCTAAGGAGAACCATTCTCTCTATACACATTTGCCTTGTAATATACAGCTACAAGAGTAAGCTGCATATGATTTTCATAAGACATGATAAAAATCTAATGGTTCTAGGCTGCATACGGAAAACCTGTGCAGATAAGTGGCTCAGGCTCTGATAAACATACTGGGCCAGGAAAGCCATTTTTTACTTTAAAGAAGAAACGGGAGTATGATTGAGATGTCATGGTGAGGGGGTACTGCATGGGGAAGATTCCCATAATCAGTCATCAGCCTGTTGCAAAGACAAGGGGGGAGTGGGGCTGCCACACGTTGCAACAGACTGGGCCCTTTGCACCCCTGACACCTCCTGTGCCTTCTTGAGAGGATTCCCCTGCAGGAATTGCTTTTCTTAGCTTGCAGGTTGTTCACAAAGGTAGGGCAGGGGACACAGCAGTGAGCACCTGCGTGCTGTGCTGACCACTGGCACCTGAGGAGCTGGTGCTGCACAGAGCTGCCTATGACATCCATGGCAGCGGGGCTTGATGGTGCAGGTCCTACAGCAGTGACCTCTGCTAGGGGACTGTTTCTTCTTGTGCCCTAATGGCAGAGCTTGAGTTTCCCCGGCGCACAGAGAGAACACATAGGAAAGATGATTTCCACCCTCTGCATGGCCTTGCTTGTGCTCAAGTGGCTGCTCTTGGGGCCGGAGGAAAGGCTTCCAGGCCTGGCATTGGGTTCAATTCATAGAATCCAAGGCTGGTTTGGGTTGGAAGGGACCTTAAGGATCATCCAGGGCCAACCCCCTGCCACAGGCAGTGACACCTTCCACTAGAGCAGCTTGCTCCAAGCCCCGTCCAACCTGGCCTTGAACACTGCCAGGGATGGGGTAGCCACAGCTCCTCTGGGCACCCTGTGCCAGCGCCTCAGCACCCTCACAGGGAAGGGTTTCTTCCTAACCTAAAATCCTCGCAAGGCTGCTTTTCCAGAAACTTCCCTGATGGGTTAAGTCATACAAGGGAAACCTGCCACACATTGGGTTGTGGCAAATAATTTGTTTCTATGGTATGGAAAGCTCTGTTTGTACTGCCTTTTTGGGTAGGAAAGGAGGGAAATACACACTGATTCTAAGAGCCGCAATTCCTGTCCCTGCACTGCTTTCTGTCAGCAGGCTAACCACATCTTCCACAGGCCAGCCCGGGTGCCGAGGGTACCTGCGGCAGGACCCCTCTGCTCCCCAGGCTTTGTGCTAGAGCCTGGAATACAACATCCCCGCACAGGTGCTGGCTGTGAGGCTGCTCTTCAGCCTCGCCCTGCCTTGAGCCCAGATGCTGCAGGCCCAGCTTTGTGACGGAGGTGAGTCCGGTCCGGTTCCAGACGGTTCCAGCCGCCCCACGGCGGGACACAGCCCAGCGCCTCAGCCGCGGGCGGGCGCGTCTTGCACAGAGCCCTCGGCTGAGGAAGGGCGGGGAGCGCTGAGGGGAGGAGGATGAGGAGCGGCCCGGCCAGCCCTGAGGGGCAGGAGGGGCTCCCGCTGCCCCTCACTGCGGTTCCACGGAGATTGCCCCCCGCAGGGAGCGGGTGGAGAGCTCCTGAGGGAGTAGCGGCAGAGAGAGCAGGAGCCGCAGGGAGCACCGCAGCCTGGCACGTTCCTAAACCCCTCGGGGTTGGGGTAGAGGAGTGGCGAGTGAAAGGTGAGCTTGAGAAATGGCGAAACCCCCTTCCCCGGGGTGAGCGGGGAAGAGACGGCGTTTTAATTATTGTCTCGCCACAACTGTGTTTTAATTGGCAACAAATTACATTGATTTTCCACAAGTCCAGTCTCCTTTTGCCTATAAGTGATCCCCAAGCTTTCCCGTCTTATTTTCTCCCTGTCCTGTGAGGAGGGAGAATGAGGTAGCAGTTGGGTGGGTGCTTGGCAACCAACTGTGGTCAACAACGGCATTCCCAGCAGCGCAATGAAGCCACAGCCGTGCTGTGTCCCACACAGCTGGTTCAGAGGCCTGGTGAGTCATGGTTTGGGGTAGTGATGTGCTGCTGGAGCTGCTGCATGGGACAAGCCAGCTTTACCCTCAGGAAGGGGTACTGCATCAGTCTTTCCATCTGGGGTGTCACTTTGTGGTCAAGGTTGAGGTGTTTCTGGGCTCCTGGTGAACAAACAGCTGCCTGGTCTGTAATGTAGGTGAATAAACAGGAATTTTTCTCTGCAGGGTGTTTCACCCATTGACTTTCACCAGGTCACTTCACATAGTAGTGCTCTCTCAGTCTGTCTTTCTGCCTGAAATGCTTAAATGAAAATATGTGAGTCAAATATCTGGTAAATAAACCCTCACTTAGGAGGGTACACCTTGAGTTTGTAACATATGGCCCATGCTAAAAGGAGAGGGGGGAAAAATAAGGCAGGAATCAGAAGTGCAGGTCGTTTCATGTGCTGAATTAGACCATTGGAAAACTTACTTAAATTTTACCTGGGTTTTAGGCTGTGATCAGTCAAGGCCAGGTTGGACATGGCTCAGAGCAATCTGCTCTAGTGGAAGGTGGCCATGCCCGTGGTAGGGGGTTGGAACTGGATGAGCTTTAAGGTCTTTTCCAGCCCAAACCATTCTATGATTAAAAGTATGGTTATGTATTTAATCTGGTCAGCACTGCTCATAGAAACCTCAGTCATGTCTATCTGTACCTTAGCCAGGTGTTGATCAGGAGGGCAGGGTAAATGAGTTACTTCACTGTAGTTGAGAAAGAAGGTGGCCTATACAGGGCATGTTGATTTCTCTCTG